GGGCTGCTTAGAACTAGGCACAGTTAACAAAAAGGGGAACGTTTCATACCTCCCCATGCCTCCCCCACTCTGCCCTGTAACTGTGGGTCCTCACCACTGTCTCGTGGCAGTCTCTCCTTTGCTGTTGGGCCCACAGCTCCCTTGCAGTGTAGTCAAAAAACTTCTCTCTCTTTTGTTCTGCCCTGGGTGAATCCTTCACCTCCCGCACTGCTAGCCCCCCATCCTCAATGGGGTCGCCCCACACACAGGAGCAAATAGAAATGCTCCACCATCTTAGTACTACATCATATTATACAAAACTATGAGAAGTGTGCAAATTCTACTCAGAAATCGAGATATGTTACATATGTATAACATTTCCTAATAATACCAGTCTAGTACATCTATAAAAATAGACTGTTAGTTTAGTATTTGTTGTTGTAAATGAAACCAGAATGGATTCTAGTTATTTAGAGTATATAGTTTAAATAATGTATTAAATATATTAACTAATATATTAAATATATCAAATAGTACATTACATTAAGTAATAAATAATATAGCACATAAGCTAATATACTAAATAATCAATATGCATTTAAATAAAATATATATCATATATTTATATTAACATATATTAATATATAATATTTTAACTTACATAACTTTTAAAATAATCACAAACTGATAGTAAAATATTTGTATATGTATCTTGTATTAATTGTATTACTTCAAAGTTTACCATTACATCATGCATTGAATCGATTAGGGGCTCATCTTTAAAATTGCAAAATACCTCAATTCCCATCACTCTGATTTCACTGCTATGCTTCATAATTCTTTAAAGGTTACTGACATGGACTTTGAGATCATATAAAAATTTATCTCTGGAAGTCCAGTATATTATTTATTCAGGCTTCAAAATATGAATGTATTTTCTTTGGGGAATGTCCTCTCATACTTCAATCTATTCTTTTAGTGTTTCGCTTCCATTTTCCCTTTTAATTATATTCCTCATCGATGGAGATAAAAGATAGGAACTCAGCAAAACATCTTCACTTAGGGGCCCCTGGATGGCTCAGTCGTTAAGCGTTTGCCTTCGGCTCAGGTCATGATCCTGGGGTCCTGGGATCGTGTACCGCATCCGGCTCCCTGCTCGGCGGGAAGCCTGCTTCTCCCTCTCCTGCTCCCCCTGCTTGTGTTCCCTCTCTCGCTGTGTCTCTCTCTCTGTCAAATAAATAGATTAGGTTAAAAAAAAAAATCTTCATTTATTTTAAATATTAGCCCAGCAGTCTTTAAAGTGTGGTCCCCTGATCAACATTACCTAGGCATTCATTAGATATTCATTAGATATGCAAATTTCCAGCCCCCTCCCTCACCCAGACCTTAGAAAATCTGGGGGTGTGGATTTTAAAGCCCTCCAGGTGGTTCTGATATTTTTACAAGTTTTAAGATCCCTTGTGTTGTGTTGTAATTACCCTGAGGCAGAAATGTCTGCTGTGATTGGAAGATCTTAAGAAGAAACGTGCTAGAAAAAGCTTTTGACAAAGTACAGCATCCTTTCTTGATCAAAACTCTTCAGAGTATAGG